TTTTTGGTATCACCTGGCAGGACAAAGTTCCGAATAGAGTAGTCCTAGAATGAGCTGGAATTTTTAGCATGTATACATTACTGAAACAGCGACGTCTATGTTGGCTTGGGCATGTTGTGAGAATGGCAGCTGGTCAGAGTCCAAAGGATCTCCTGTATGAAGAATTAGTGCAGGGAAATTGCCCCAGAGGGAGACCACAACTGTGATACAAGGATATCTGCAAGTGGGATCTGAAGGCCTTAGGAATGGACCTCAACAGATGGGAAACCTTGATATCTGAGCATTTAGCCTGGAGGCAGGCAGTGCATCATGGCCTCTCCCAATTTGAAGAGATACTTGTTCAGCAGGCCAAGGCAAAGAGGCAGTCCCGAAAGCAGCAAAACCAGAGAGCTGGACAGGGGACAGATTGTATTTGTCTTCAGTGTGAAAGGGATTGTCACTCTCGAATTGGCCTTCTCAGCCACACTAGACGCTGTTCCAAGTCCTCCATACAGAGCACATTACCATAGTCAAGAGATGGTGAGTGCTCCAACAGTGGAGGGATTCAAGAAAAATTTAGAAAACCACCTGGCAGATATCCTTTGATTTCTATTCCTGCATTGAGCAGGGGGATTGGACTCGATGACCTTCCAACTTCATGATTCTTTGATTCTTTGCTCTCAGGAATGTCCTGACCTCAACTGCTCTGCTCAGGTCTTCTAAGCTCAAGCCTGTGGCTTCCTTTACAGAGTCAGTCCATCTCATATTTGGTCTTCCTCTCTTCCTGCTGCCTTCAACTTTTCCTAGCCTTTTTGTCTTTTCCAGAGAATCCTGCTTTCTCACGATGTGCCCAAAGTCAGACAGCTTCAGTTTCAACATTTTTGCACCAATGTTGAAACTGTTAAAGGGAAGTTGAAATTTAAACATGCACCGCGCTGCCCAGGCAGTGCTGAACTGCTTGTTGATCTCCCACACAACATATTGTTCTGCCCTCAAATGTACAACTTGAAATTGTGATGTTGTCTTCTTGTGTTCTTGGGATGGAAGCTGAGCAACACATTCCTGGCACTGAACTTGTTCAGTGCCCTTTTCTGTTGGGCATGGGACTGGTGCCCGTCTGATATCAGGCTCAGCAATTATTTCATTTCGGCCTGCCACAATAACACCTGACTCAACTTGAAAAAGAGGGGGGAGGGAGAGAGAGGGAGGGAGAGGTAAGTATTTGACCAGAGTGACCTAGACTTGAGTTGTCAAGTGACAGGTGCCCGTCTGTAAAGTCAGCTTATTAAAACCACAGGTCTCTCTGCTTGCATTTCATTCAAGGAAGGAGAACATACAAGCTGCTTCTGACTCTTTTCTGCGGAAAGGCTCTTTCTATTGTTCTTTGAGGAGAGACATTATGGGGCTCAGTGATCAGGAATGGCAGAAAGTCATTGACATCTGGGGAAAAGTGGAACCAGATCTCCCTGCTCATGGGCAGGAGGTTATTATCAGGTAAGCAGAAGCTGCTGCTGGAAATCTGAGAGCAGCATTCCTGAGAGGTTAGTATGGTGGTGTTTTAGGAATTTATTTCTAAGGTTAGAAATTGTATGGCCAGAAGAGAGAGGAAGATTGCCTGTAAATATCCATTCTTATCTACTTCCGTTTGTATTGGCTTCTTGGTCAGATACATTGTAGGATTATAGAGTCTTTATAATCCTATATACAAAGTGCTCTGATTTATTGCTATTGTAAAAGGTGTTATCGAATGACTTATGGACACTGAATAAAAGAGAGGATTAGAACTGTAGTATTATCATTATCATCATCATCATCATTATTATAGGGACATAGTGGTGCTGTGGGTTGAACCGCCGAAGCCTCTGTGCTGAAGGGTCAAAAGACCAGCAGTTGTAGGATCAAATCTATGTGATGGAGTGAGCTCCCGTCGCTTGTCCCAGCTCCTGCCAACCTAGCAGTTCGAAAGCATGTAAAAATGCGAGAAGATACATAGGTACCACCTCAGTGGGAAGGTAATGACATTCCATGTCTAGTCGCACTGGCTGTGTGACCATGGAAATTGTCTTCGGACAAACACTGGCTCTATGGCTTGGAGACGGGGATGAGCACCGTGCCCTAGAGTCGGACACAACTGGACTAAATGTCAAGGGGAACCTTTACCTTTACCTATTACTATTGTTTTCTTTATATGCTGCATTTCTCCCAACAAGGGATCCAAAGCGGCTCACAACATTAAAATTAACACAATTTAAAAACACAGTAAGTTAAATATTAAAAGATAAATTAAACAACATATGATTTAAAATACAATTAAAAGATTAAAATATGAAAACATAAAAAAGATTAAAAGTATCTGCTAAAATGGTGTTCAGAGATTCAGTTATAATTCAGTAACTAGCATTTACATGCTATCAGAGGCCAAGACCAAGTGATGCAATTTGTATTACTTCCAGCAGATCAACAAATTTGTCCAAATCTATGGATCTGACAAAGATAGTTGGATGCAATTTCCTTACAAGGAAGTGTGCTTTGAAAATTGTGCGTACCAGTTTAATGATCCAGTGTGGAGTGATGGTTGTAGTGTTGGGCTGCGACTTTGGAGATCCAGGTTCAGGACCTCACTTAGTCATGAAACTGAGTCATGACCTTGAGTCTCTCTCTCTCTGATTGATGTGAGAGGATTTTTAGGAGAGTAAAAGAGGGAAGATGACAGCCATGCACATTCACGTCAACTCATTAGAGCAAAGGCAGGATATAAATGCAGGGAAGCAATGAAACACTTGTAACGTCCCTCAGAGATTTCAGCCGAGAGCATGTTAATGCTGGCAAAAGGTGACTGAGGCGTTTTTTCTGCTTGTGAAATCAGACTGCAAAGGAATCATATGCCTAAATCCTGAAAACTAAGCACTAAACAAAGCAAACCGATTCGCATACTCTCAGGATGCAGTTCCATGGGCAAAAAGAAATACAGTTAAATCAAATTAAGCATAGTTTAAATAAAATTATAATTTCTCATGCACACGATGCACTAGTGAAAGCAATTTATTTGGGCTCCAAAGTGAGTTTTTTTTTTAATTGGCCATAAGGGGCTTTTAAAAATAACATATTTGTAAATCAATGTAAGTCAATTTGGGTTGGCAGGTGAGCTTCTACTCTCCTTGATATATATTGTTCAGCAATGCATCAGTTACTGCCTTTTGATGTACTCTGCTGAATAGAACCATCGATTTATCACTGTATCACTTATTTTTAAAAAGAAGTTAAGAAAGACAAACGGTAACAAAAAATGGGCTCCTAAAGAAGAAAGGAAATAAGTTTCCTTTCGACAGTGTAGAGGCCACAACTGGTTTAAATAATCAGATTGAGTTCCATTCAGTGCATGTGAACATGGCAACCGATTTAAATACCATGTGACTCAATTTTTTAAAAAACTGAAAAGAAATCAGTTCAAATTGCCGGTGGGAGCTCACCTTGAGAAGCAAATAAACTCTGGCTGGGCCATTCAGACTCCCATTAGTTAAGAATTTCCCTCTTTCGGTCACAGGCTGCTGTCCAGTCTATTTCTAGCTGAAGTGTAATGTTCAGTGACCAGATATGAGGTTAGAAAAACATGCTGGTTCCATTGACCTGGGAGGTCATGTTCTTCATTGACACAAGGATGTGACAAAAGCCCAGTTGGATCAATCTGTGATGAACCCATCTAGTCAACGTTCCAGTTTTTCTTGCATTGGCCATGTTTGGTATAGTTAGATTCTATAGAAGTAAAGGAGGGCATTTAGTCCCACCCATTCATGAAATTTACAAAACCAAACTACTTCCGCAGATCCTGTATGGCGCTGAAATATGGGGAACTGGAAACCTATCCTCCCTAAAAATAATCCAAAGTAAATTTACTCGATTACTCCTGACAGCTCCCTCCTTCAACCCCCTCAGCGTTTCTCAGATTAGAACTGGTGCTAATGTCAATAACAGACATTAGTCTATAAGTTAATAATTAATTACTGGCTGAAAATTTTGTCCATCACTCAGTCAGAATTTTTAACATGGGGAGATGAATTTTGGATCGTGGAAACTTTTTGCACTGCAACTAGCCAAGACTATCGACTTCCAAGGATTTTAAAGCATGCTTTAATCTCTGCTGGACTGAGCCTTATAGGTTTAATCAATGTTATCTCCAAAAATAATCTTGCTCTGAGCACTCCAGTCTATTATCACTCTTCAGAGATAGGTGGTGCTTCTCTCATCTTTTCGTAAAGGCCTGAAATACATTTCATTTTATATACAGTACTGTTCCAGTATATCCTATTGTATCTTATTATAGTCTATTGCATATGTGTGTGTGTGTATGTGTATACTGTTTACACACACACACACACACACACACACACACACACACACACACACACACACACACACACACACACACACACACACCAGTGGCATTTATTTTCCAATTGAGTTGAAGTCTCATTAAACTGCAAGAGATTCATATGGGGTGTAAAATAATTTTTAAAGAGGGAAAACCATCTCTTCTATTTCATTAAAAAATCTGACACACAACCTGTTATAATTTCTGAATTTAGAAAAGTTACTTTGGTGGACTTCAGTTCCCAGAATTCACCAACCAGTAGGATCACTGGCTGTGCCATCTAAGGGATATTGGCAGGTCTAGTGCTGTAAGTGCTGGAATTACTAATAGCATCCAGAGGCATATACTGCATAGGTTATAGCTGTAACTGTGGTGCAGCATCTTTAGAGGATGTTCTTTACTGTCAGTCACTCATTCCCTGCTGAGCGCTTGTGGTCTATTGACAGCTTGTTTCAAAACCATCCTGAAACTCAAGACAAGTTTGACAAATTCAAAAATCTGAAGTCCATGGATGAGATGAGAAGCTCAGAGGAACTCAAGAAGCACGGAACTACTGTCCTTACTGCCCTGGGCAAAATCCTGAAGCAAAAGGGCAACCATGAGGCTGAACTCACACCGCTGGCCCAGAGCCATGCCAACAAGCATAAAATCCCTATCAAGTATCTTGAGGTAAGTGCCTGTATGTATGTGTCTGTCTCCGTTATGTGTGTGGCTGTCTGTGGAACACTGCACTCCATTGGCCATGAGGCAAGGAGAAGATGTGATAGTTTGTTCACATCCTTTTTATAGTACAGATGTCTTTATGCTCATATGCTGATGAATCTTTAAAACTGATAGAAGAGGGCAATGTAAAATAACACACTTCATTATTTGGATCAAGAGGCATTGTTTTGGATATGGAGGGAACCTCTAGGCCATGGAGCGTCTGTTCACTGTCCCATCATGAGATAAATGACTTAGGTCAGTGATCAAAGACAAGATCTGCACATTTTTGACTCTGATCGATATACAGTGAAAGTTGATTTTCTCTAAAAACAAATATTGCCAGTCCTAATCCTAGTATCTGGCTAAGCATCATGACTCTTCCAGCTCCTGAAAGCATCCACTGAGATTTGTTTTTACTCCACCTCTTCCTTTCCCACATGGGAAAAGAGGATGAAAAGTGAAGACTGGTTCCTAATGGAAGCACCAGGTAGCAAAACTCTCCTTCATTAATTAGTTTCGTAGCAAAACCCTACTTCATTCGTTGGTCTGTCAACATTGGAGTGGATGGCTGTGCCCTAATGCCAATGGTAGAGTCACACTCTGGGACATCATCCAGATAAAAGAGAATGTTGTGTTTTTGTTGGGATCTGGCCTCTGCTCTGAAATGTTCCCTGCCTGTGATTTGTTGCTAAACTCATGTGATCATTATGGGTGTTTCAAAAATCTTTTTTGCCTGTGTCTCAAAGCTCATGCAATAATTCTTCAGCCAAATCACTAAACTTAACATATTATCGGACATGGTGACTATTATTACAAATCAGGATGGTGGAAACTGCCGCCTTCCAGATGTGAAATCTGTGTGGGACCTTGGTTCTTCCAGGTTTTGACTTACCAACAGTCCCAGGCAGCATAAGCAAAGGTTAGAGATTACAGGAGTTCAACAACATCTGGATGGGGCTGCCGCCACCGCCGTTCAGCCTCCCCCACTTGGAGTGGGTGCCTCACTTTGTCCAATAGTAGAGGCAGCCCTCAAACCCATCTAAACCAGATGCCTCACGTCAACTTGGGGCAAAGCTTTTTAATAATTTTCTTCAATTGTGCAGATTGGGATTTGGGGCATTCTAGTCTAAATATGTAACTTTCCCACGTTAGCAGCAGCAAAAGCAAGGTGTGTGCATGGTACTTTCCATTTGCTTCTCAGAAGGAGCAAGCTTCTGCTAACTGAACACCCATGACTTGCTGACATTTAAAGGTGCTGAAAAGCTCACTCTCCTTATTTTGACATGTGCCATGCTTTGAGTTTCTTAGCTTCCCCTCTCTCTCTCTCTCTCTCTCTCTCTCTCTCTCCCTCCCCCCCCCAATTCTTCTTTACAGTTCATTTGTGAAATAATTGTTGCCATCATTGCTGAAAAATATGCAGCAGACTTTGGGCCCGATTCCCAAGCCGCCATGAGGAAGGCCTTGGAGCTGTTCCGGAATGACATGGCCAGCAAATACAAGGACTTTGGGTTCCAGGGCTAGCCCCATCTCCTTAAGAAGATATAAAGCAGCAGTGTTGTAGGAGAATGTGCTTATTTATCAAAAATAGTTTGGCATTCAATTGAAACAATCGCAATGAATGGAGCTCAAGTTACACTGGGTGGTGGGAGCCGTGCTTCTTTGAAATCTACTCCGTTCACCAATAAATCTTTGGGATAGGGGTTCAATGTTAAGGCAAGAGGGTCATGCAGGTGTGAAGTGATAAAAATGCTTCTTTCATCAACCTGTACCCCAAAATTCTGTCTGTCTCTTGCCAAACTCTGATCCTAGAACTGGCACCAGTTGAGAGAAAGGTAGGAGGCAGTAGACTAGGGTTAGAAGGAGGAAGGGTCAGAACTACCCATCCAGTATTCCCATTAATTAATTTCTCTAATCTGCCATTTTCCAAAATGCTGCATAGCACCACTCCCATAACCCCCAAATTATCTGGCATGCTGATGGGAATTGTAGCCCAAACTTATCAAAGGCACATGGTTTGGGAAAGTGGATGATGGCCCCACTTTATATATGAATGGGGCTAGAGCATGATCTGCTACCCTCACACGTAGCTTGGGTTGTCCACTGAGGTTACCTTTGATTTTCAGCTGAAATCACTATAGCCCTGGCCTTACTAAAATAAAGATTGTGTTAAATTTCAACCCAGGCCTTTTTTGTCACTCCACTCCACTGCCACAGAAACTAGTAGCAGGAAAACAGAGGCCAGTCTATAGACTCTGTTCATGGAAATGGCAGTCCCACCTGGGTTGCACTGTATTTGAAATGGGTGACATGTACATTTCCATCAAAAGCAGCTGAGATGTCATTAGGTTCCATGTTTGTGAGATAACAGGATCGTGTGGCAATATAATCTGATTACTGGGCAATTCAGGGCAGATAAATGGAGGCACCTTGTCACATAGCTACAGTGGTTCCCAATCCTGTGTTCTTGGACTACATCTCCCAGTAATCCTGGCCAGCACAGCTAGTGTTGAAGGCTTCTGTGACTTTCAGTCCAAGAACATTTGGAGACCCAAGGTTGGGAACCACTGAAAGTGCATAATTAAACTGTGGAATTCACTGACACAAGATGTAGTGATGGCTAATGGTTGCCAGCTTGGATGGCTGTAAAAAGTGATTAAATAAATTGAAAGAGCTGTGTAATGGATAGAGTGATGGGCTGGGACTCAGAAGACCTCGGTTAAAATCCCCACCGAGCTGTGGAAACTCACTGAAGCAAGGACAGGCTGCTCCTTGAACCTCTCACAGATCTCAAAGAGTCATCATAAGCTGGAGGCAACTTGACCTATGAATAACAAAGTAAATTCCTTGGTGGCTACAAGTCAGGATGGTTTTCAGATGATCTCCAGTATCAGAGGCAATATGCTCTTTATCAGTTGCTGGAGATTGTGATACAGAGAGTCCAATTTTATCTGTGTCATTTGGAGAAACCTTCTATAGAGAACGGGTTGGGTGCTGTTTGAACTGAACGAAAAATTACGAGGGCCTCTGGTCTGATCTAGCAGGGCTCTCCTTATGTTTCGAAGGACAAAGCAGGACACAGTTTGAAAACTGCATCACAATATCGCTCATGGTTATCTTGATAATGAGGCTTTAGTGACAGAAAAATCTCTTGGGATGCCTGAGTCATCATAGTCAGTAAACATAGGGCTGTATTACCACATATTATAAAGAGATTTGGGCTTGTGAAATGCCCTTGCTGAGCCCAAGACTGAAGTCAGAGTTAATCCATCAATATGTTGTGTGTTCCCAGCTCACCAATCATTCTCTTAATGGCAACGCTACTTCAACAGTAACCTCTCAGCAACAAACAAGGCATTATGAAGTCACAATAACATAAAAATGGTAGGTATCAAGCTTATGTCTATGGGAAAAAGAAATAATCCAGAAGTGACTAGTTAGACGAAGAAACATTCAGTTATTTTTACATAATTTCTGAAAACCCATTCAGGGATGGATCAGAAGAAGATCCAGATTTGGCTTATAAATGCTCCTAAGGCTATTCTTAACGAGTGTGGGACTGATAACAGCTATTATGGAGGAGATGAATGTCAATTTCTTTCTAGGACAAAGGAACAATAGCATACAATGTATTTTCCACCTCTGCATAAACATATCACCTTGACTATTTTGTATTTCATTGCTGAAAGATGGCATGAGTATTTTCTGGTTTTCTGTTTTGTTTTTGTTTTTTTTAGCCTACTCACTGTGCTGTATGTAGTTTTGGTTGTTATTGTTTTTAACCCTGCAACTGCTGCTGGAGAAACAGTGCCTTAAATAAAGACTCACTCCTCTCCATCTGCCTGACATCACATTCTTTCCCAAAGGAAAGGCTAGCTGCTCCTTAGGGATGCAAAGAATTCTGCATTTACAGCAGGTGCTCTTGTCAGTCTCAATGTGAAAGCAGCCATGTGTGCACAACCATATGTTATTGCAGGCCATGTTGCTTACTTGTAGTCCAGGAATAGGCAAAACGAAGTCTGTAAGGCATCCCCCCCCTTCCTCAGTTACCCAAGAGAGGCAAGAATATTTTTCGTATTTTTGTTTTTTCTCTTCCTGGAGGCCTCCAAGGAAGGGAAGTTATTGTTTGAGGAAGCCCCTCAAACCACCAATGTAAAGGGCCATCTGAGCATTTCCCATTTAATATTTTTCTAGTTGGGCCATTTCTGGGCCTATAACAGCCCTGGACTGATTCTAAGGGTGCAAACTCGGCCCCAGATTTGACCACCTCAGCTGTAGTCCTTGGTGCATAATATGCAGGTCAGTTGCTGCTGGTTAATCGAGTCTCTCCCATCCCCATAAACAAGCTTAAGAGTAAATGAACTCTCAGTCAAAGCAAAGGGTGAGCAACTTCCATAGGTCTGTGGGGTACATGCGTCCACCTCAGGAAGTTGAAGGGAGATGCATGCTTGCAGACTTCATATTTTCTATTTATATTCTCTTAGAGCCTAAGGCTCCAGTGAAACAGACTCCCAGTAATGGTTTCATTATCCAGCTGCTCATCAGAGTGTGTTTCTTGGAATTTAGACTGTAGTGGCCATTTATCTATGATATTCAATGCTCCAGTCCAGACCTATCTTCATTCCTCCTCTTTCTGCCTAGTTCTTGATCATACCTTCTGCTACTGCCATTTTCCCTGACTACACCCATTTAGAAGGTCTAAGAGAGAGCCTCCAGAGCAGGAACAAATGCAGCATGAGGTGCACACAGAGGTGGGATAGTTGGTAGTCTCCATGGTATGAAATCACTGGACCTCACACATACAGTATGATCAGAACTATCCACAAATTCCAAGAAAATTCATTTTGAGAGATGGAATGGTCAGCCCTGACCATGCTGGCTGGGGGATTCTGGGAGGTGTAGTTTTATGAAAACCCTAATGTTTCTCTTCTCTGCCTTTTCCCAATATGATAACCCTCATAAATCCCACCAGTGTGGCAGGCTGTGCCAGATGTGGCTGATGGGAGTTCTAGCCCAGCACATCTGTAGGACACTAGGTTCAAGATGGTTGCCTAACAGACACGATCTCCCACTCCATGTTTCATTAGTCACATGCATGTACACTGCGATGTCTGCTTCAGGTATACAATCTAGTTGTACCTCCTCCTCACAGATTGAATGCCCAGTTTCAAGTGTGTGGCTCCCTCTTCTAAGAGGCTATGGCAAGACAGCAGGGTCTGAAAGTAACATTTCATCCTAACAAGAGTTAGTGCAAGTAGAAATTAAACAACATATCATTCAAATGGTTAAATAAATAAATAAATAAATATCAAAAGGCTACAGTTCTGTGAATAACCCAGCCAGTGGTCATGCTAGGGCTGGACTATTTTGAGAGTTATGAGTTTTTAAAGCAAATCAAAGCAAAGTGTGCTACTATTTATTCATTTATTTATTTATTTGATTTATATCCCGCCCATCTGGTATATTCTACTATACTTCTTAGAGCATTCTCTGGGCAGTTTTCAATTTTTAATCATGCAGGTTACACAGTGCCAGCCCCCCAGCAAACTGCGTACTGTTTACTGACCTTTGAAGGATGGAAGGCTAAGTCAACCTTGAGCCAGCTATCTGAGTCTGTCAGGATTGAACTTGGGTTGTGAGCAGAGTCTTGACTGCAGTACAGCAGTTTAACCACTGCTCCATGAGATTTTTTTTAAAAGAAAGGAGTAACATTTCCCATTTCTGGAATGTTCAGTGGAAGCACAGAGAAAGAGGAGTGGGTTAAATTCTCTTCCTTACATGGTACAGTCTTGATTCCAATCTCTTCCTACTGAAGGCTAGGCAAAATAGAAGGAATTGAATAATTCCATCTATTTGTCTTGGTTGGCCCTGAAGAGATTATAGTGACTTTACCCCTGTGGGGAAGGACAGGCAAGGCAGCCCTACCTGCAATTCTGAGGAATTCTTGTCATCAGAAGATTTGAGATATTCAGAGAAATGCTGGCCATTTCACAAACTTGAGCTCGGGAACATAACTCTGGCCCCAGAGATAAAGTTGTCCTGCAAGTCTCTTTTTAAAGAACCACCATCATAAGGCAGTTCTAGGGAGCCACAAATGACTTCAGAACATGGCACCAGACCATCTGGCAGCCAGCTTCACATACCGCAAGAGTTCCGACACAGAGTCATGGATGGGCAGAGAGCCAGATCTGAGATTACAACTACAAGGTCAAAAACATAGCGACGGAAACAGTAAGACCCTCTTTTCCACCTCAGATGGCTACTCCAGTGAAGGACATGTGCAAAACAAGGTACAAAGTGCCACCCTTTCGGAGGAGCAGGCCGTGACACCCTTGTCAAGAGAGCTGTCTGTGGCTCAGACTTGACATGACTGCCCACTTGAGCTCATGGGCAAAATTTTGTGCAAATCCCAACACTTTAAATATCAAGTGCAACTAGATACCACCACCATGCTGCCTAAATAAGACTTAGAGGTTTATTCTCACATTACTTAGTGCCATGGGAAAGGAACAGAGCAACATGTTAATTCATTTGCTTGTTCATATCTAAAAGGCCCCCCAAAAACAAAAAAACACCCATCAACTTAATTTAGGAACGAATAAACAAATAGCAGGAGCAAGTCAACTGTAAATGCAAACCTCCAGACCAGGAAGAAATAAGATGTTGTCATTGAAAAGAAGATGTCGTTGAATTTCCCCAGGATTTGAAAAGTCACTTCTTTTTTTTAGTACAGTCCCAGAATTCCCCCACATGTGTAGTTATTGGCCGATAGACTGGGGTATTCTGGGAATTATAGTCCAAAAAGCAACTGTTCTAAACTTAGCAAATTCTCATGATCTTTGCACTTACTTGCCTGGTGACCCAATTGTCTTCCGGTTCTGGTTGATGCTGTAGATAATTTGCTATCCCATTTGAGCTTCACTCTTGTAGATCTGCACCTCCTTCATTGTTTTTAAATGGATCCTTGGGGGGAAAAAGGGTCAGAAATATCAAGAACTAGGGCAGTTTCATTGCTGGTATTGGTGTCCGGTATCCACCTCAAAATCAGGTTCTCTTAAAGCAGTTTCATGGTCCATTTATCCCACTTCCTTAAGTGGTGAGACAATTCACAGGAAGCAGCACCGAAATTTGGTTTGGCTTCCTTTGAATGACAGTATGTTGGAGACTTTTAGTATTTTGATAATATATGCGTTGTTCACAAAATATAAAAATAAAACACAAGCAGAAGCAAACATGCAGCTATTCAAGTCAACTGACCTGTTACTAGGTGTTAAATCCTCAAGAAAGTGCCTTCATGTTAAGATACCTCTA